GGTGCCACTGTCCCCATCTTGGTGCCACTGTCCGCATCCTGGTGCCACCATCCTGGTGCCACCATCCCCATCCTGGTGCCACCGTCCCCATCCTGGTGCCACCGTCCCCATCCCGGTGCCACCATCCCCATCCCGGTGCCACTGTCCCCATCCCGGCGGCACCATCCCCATCCTGGTGCCACCATCCCCATCCTGGTGCCACCGTCCCCATCCCGGTGCCACCGTCCCCATTCCGGTGCCACCATCCCCATTCCGGTGCCACCGTCCCCATCCTGGTGCCACCGTCCCCATCCTGGTGCCACCATCCCCATCCTGGTGCCACCATCCCCATCCTGGTGCCACCATCGCCATCCCGGTGCCACCATCGCCATCCTGGTGTCACCGTCCCCATCCTGGTGCTACCATCCCCATCCTGGTGCCACCATCCCCATCCCGGTGCCACTATCCCCATCCCGGTGTCACCGTCCCCATCCCAGTGCCACCGTCCCCATCCTGGTGCCACCGTCGCCATCCACCATCCCCATCCCGGTGCCACCATCCCCATCCCGGTGCCACTGTACCCATCCCGGTGCCACTGTCCCCATCCTGGTGCCACTGTCACCATCCTGGTGCCACCATCCTGGTACCACCATCCCCATCCCGGTGTCACTGTCCCCATACCGGCGCCACCATCCCCATCCCGGTGCCACCATCCCCATCCTGGTGCCACCGTCCCCATCCTGGTGCCACCATCCCGGTGCCACCGTCCCCATCCTGGTGTCACTGTCCCCATCCTGGTGCCACCATCCCCATCCCGGTGTCACTATCCCGGTGCCACCGTCCCCATCCTGGTGCCACCGTCCCCATCCTGGTGTCACCATCCTGGTGCCACCATCCCCATCCCAGTGTCACCTTCCCCATCCCGGTGCCACCGTCCCCATCCCGGTGCCACCGTCCCCATCCTGGTGCCACTGTCCCCATCCTGGTGCCACCATCCTGGTGCCACCATCCCCATCCCAGTGTCACCTTCCCCATCCTGGTGCCACCATCCCCATCCCGGTGTCACTATCCCAATGCCACCGTCCCCATCCTGGTGCCACCGTCCCCATCCTGGTGCCACCATCCCCATCCTGGTGTCACTATCCCGGTGCCACCGTCCCCATCCCGGTGCCACCATCCCCATCCCGGTGCCACCATCCCCATCCCGGTGCCACCGTCCCCATCCCGGTGCCACCAATCTGGTGTCACCTTCCCCATCCCAGTGCCACCGTCCCCATCCCGGTGCCACCGTCCCCATCCCGGTGCCACTGTCCCCATCCCGGTGCCACCATCCCCATCCACCATCCCCATACCAGTGCCACCATCCCTATCCCGGTGTCACCGTCCCCATCCTGGTGCCACCATCCTGGTGCCACCGTCCCCATCCTGGTGCCACCATCCTGGTGCCACCGTCCCCATCCTGGTGCCACCAATCTGGTGTCACCTTCCCCATCCCAGTGCCACCAACCCCATCCCGGTGCCACAATCCCCATCCCGGTGCCACTGTCCCCATCCTGGTGCCACCGTGGGTGCCCGTGCCAGCGGCTCCGGGGCGCTGACGGGACTGTCCCCTCTGTGTCCCCAGTTCTGCAGCAGCAACGGCCTGGAATACATCGTGGGCAGGGTGTGGATCGGTTTCTGGCTGATCCTGCTGGTGCTGGTGGTGGTGGCCTGCGAGGGCAGCTTCCTKGTGCGCTACCTGTCCCGCTACACCCAGGAGATCTTCTCCTTCCTCATCTCCCTCATCTTCATCTTCGAGACCTTCTCCAAGCTGGTCACGGTGAGGGGAGTGGGGGTCTCATGGTGGGGAAGGRGAGGGGGTTGATTGTGGTTATCACCCGGGTTTCCATAGAAACAATGGGATGTGAGGGAGGGATGGAGTTTCCTGGTGTTTTTTCCCCTTTTCCAGGTGTTTYCCAGCTCAYGATGCCCCTTCCAAYGCTAAATTTTCTGKGGATTTYGGGGATTTYGGGATTTCWGTGATCCCTGCTTCTCTCTGCAGAGGCGTTTTGGGGTCTACTTGTCCATCCCTACTGTCCCTACTTCCAAAACCGCACGGAAAATCAACCCTAAAAATTCCCCCTGCCCAACCTGCGCTGAGCTCTCGGCCTTATCCAGCCCCTGACTCTCACCCTAAACCCTCTGAGATGATGCCACAGGGCTCCCACCACAACAGAGGGGTTCAGGGGACCCCCATCCCCACCGTCCCTCACTGTCTCTCCTCTTCCCTTCCCAGATTTTCAAGGATCACCCCCTGCAGCGGCGATACGACGTGCAGGACGAGTTCCAGCCCGGCGTGGCAGAGCCCAACACGGCGCTGCTGTCCCTCGTCCTCATGGCCGGCACCTTCTTCCTGGCCTTCTTCCTCCGCAAGTTTAAAAACAGCTCCTTCCTGCCCGGCAAGGTGAGGACAGGGGGGACACGGTGGCATTTGGGGACAAAAGAGGGGTGGGGAAACACTGCAGGGTTTCTTCATGGTGTCCCCACAGGTGCGGCGCTTGATCGGGGATTTCGGGGTGCCCATTTCCATCTTCATCATGGCRCTGGCTGATTTCTTCATCAACGACAAGTACACGCAGGTCTGGGAGAGCAGGGATGGAGTGTCCCTGCTTGGGGACATTGGAGGGGTGCTTGTCCTTGTGTCCCAGCCCTCACTGTCCCCTCTCTGCTCCCTTCCAGAAACTGAGCGTCCCCAAAGGGCTGCAGGTCACCAACGCGTCCGCCCGGGGCTGGTTTATCCACCCCATGGGAACGGGAGCCTCCTTCCCCATCTGGATGATGTTCGCCTCCGTGATCCCCGCCCTTCTGGTCTTCATCCTCATCTTCCTCGAGACGCAGATCACCACGTGAGGATGGAGATTTGGGCAGGGGGAGGGTTGTGGGGTGGGGTGGGCACAGAGGGGACCTCCCTGGGGTGTCACCAACTCATCCCTCTGTCCCCACAGCCTCATYGTCAGCAAGCCCGAGAGGAAACTGGTGAAGGGCACGGGCTTCCACCTGGACCTGCTGCTGATCGTGGCCATGGGGGGGTTGGCAGCTCTTTTTGGGATGCCCTGGCTCAGCGCCACCACCGTCCGCACCATCACCCAYGCCAACGCCCTCACCGTCATGAGCAAGACCTCGGCTCCCGGGGAGAAATCCCAAATCCTGGAGGTCAAGGAGCAGCGCATCAGCGGCCTCTTGGTGGCCGTGCTCATCGGTGAGCCGGGGAGGGGTCCCCAAATTGGCAGTGAGGGTTTGGGGGCTCCCCAGAGCGTGTCCCCAGCCTCTGTTTCTCCACCACAGGCGTCTCCATCCTCATGGAGCCCATCCTGAAGTTCATCCCGCTGGCYGTGCTCTTTGGMATCTTCCTCTACATGGGGGTCACCTCTCTGTTYGGCATCCAGCTCTTCGACCGCATCCTGCTCCTGCTGAAGCCCCCCAAATACCACCCCGATGAGCCCTACGTCACCCGGGTGAGTGAGCCCCATGTCGGGGGTGTCCCAGGCTGTGACACCCCTGAAACAGCTCAGGGCACCCCAAAGAGCCTCCTCCCCCAGCGCTGAGCTCTCCCCAGCAGCCAAAACCCCAAAAAGGGTGTGGGGTGCTGTCCCTGTCCTCAACCCTCGGCTTCTCATGCCACAGGTGAAGACTTGGAGGATGCACCTGTTCACCTTCACCCAGATCATCTTCCTGGTGGTGCTGTGGGTGGTGAAGTCCACGCCGGCCTCGCTGGCACTGCCCTTCGTCCTCATCCTCACCGTGCCCCTGCGGCGTTTCCTGCTGCCCAGGATCTTCCGGGACATCGAGCTCAAATGTGTACGTAGCCCCGGCACACCCAGCGCCGTCTCCAGCCCCACCTCTCTCCCTGTTCCTGGTCCTGTCCTTGTCTGCATTTCTGTCCCTGCCTTATCCCTGTCCCTGTCCCTATCCCCCCTCTGTCTACATCCCTTTCTCTGTCCCCACCTGCATCCCTCATTCCCACCTGTGTCCCCATCCCCTGTGTCCATCCCCGTCCCCATCCCTTGTGTCCATCCCTGTCTTCATGCATTGTGTCCATCCCCATCCCCTGTGTCCATCCCCTGTGTCCATCCCTGTCCCCAACCCGTGTCCATCCCTGTCCCCATTCCCTCTGTCCATCCCCATCCCGTGTCCATCCCCTCTGTCTGTCCCTCTCCCTCCCTTGTGTCCATCCCTGTCTTCATGCGTTGTGTCCATCCCTGTCCCCATCCCCTGTGTCCATCGCTGTCCCCATCCCGTGTCCATCCCCATCTCCTGTGTCCACCCCTGTCCCCATCCCCTGTGTCCATCTCCATTCTCTGTGTCCATCCCCATCCCCTGTGTCCATCCCCTGTCCCCATCCCCTCTGTCCATCCCTGTGTCCCCATCCCTGACCTCCACGATCCCTCACACCCTCTCCTCCCCCAGCTGGACGCCGATGACGCCGTGGTCACCTTTGATGAGGCAGAAGGGACGGACGTGTACGATGAGGTGCAGATGCCCAGTTAAGGGCCGGCCCCTGCCCCCCAACATCCCCCAGCCCCGCTTCCACCTCCTCCTGCCATCCTGGGTGACCACCAAGAAGGATTTGGGGACACAGTCCCCACCTGCCCACCCTGGGAATGGAGCCTTTTTTGGTTTTCCCCTTTTTTTTTGCCTATTTTAAAAAAATATTTTGCATGATGTGATCTCACCCCCACTTTGCTGCCCGCTGGGGAAGGGGCTGGGGAGGGGTCCCACAAGCCACCCTGTGGCAAGGTGGGATGTGTCACTGTCCTGTCCCCAAGGCCACCACCAGGCACTGAGTGTGACAAGGAGCTTGAGGAAGACTCTGGAGCCTGGAGGGAGGAGGAAGGCAGGAAYAGAGATAGATTTCCCTCCCCACTGCCCCAAGCCCAGCCCCTCTCCCCAAATGAACTTTCAACCAGCTGGGACAGACCCTTCACCCCACAAAGCCTTTTTTTCCCATTTTCTCCATTTATTGCTCCATGGGATCATCCCAGCTGCACTCCCAGCATGTCCCAAAGTCAGGGTGTAAATAGTCCAGAGAGCGGGTTTATACATTTACAATGAAAACAATCATGCTAAAAACACCAAAAAAAAAATCCTTATAACGATGCTGATGCTTCTGTAGGTAGAATTCACTTAGAGCCAAGCAAAAATTTAAAAAAAAGGCTGAAAAAGCACATTAAAATGAAAAAAAAAAAAAAGAGAGAGAAAAAAAAGTAGCTGCAAGGAGTGATCTGTATATTTGATGCTACTGGGGGGGTTTGTAATTTATTTTTCGGGCTGGTTGTGTCCCCATCACAGTGGGGGCTATGTGCGTGTGTGTATATACTAGAGAATTAAAGCAAAATCTAGAATTTTCCAGAAGATATGATTTTTAAGGATCCTGGTCAGGGCCTAAACTCTATGGACCAGTCTGGCAGTCGTCATTTAACTGATAAGTTAGCATTAGTTAGTTAGTTAGTTAGTTAGTTAGTTAGTTAATTAGTCCTCTTTATTTTTATAGTGTTTCAGGTAAATCTGTGTAGTTTTTCTTTGATTTTTTTTTTCCCTTCGCTTGCTCATCATTTTCCCCATTTCCCTTGGGATTGCTCCCAATCCAGCTGAGCATCCCCYTGCACCTTCCAGGGCTGATTGTGCCCTGGGCAACTCCAAAATTTGGATGTCCCCAGGGTGCAGAGCCCCAAATT